CCTTTGGATCAGTTTGAGAATATTATTTATTCCCAGGATCCTTATACAATATTGCACAGAAATTAAATGATGCAGATCTCCCATTCCCACATGTTACCACACTTCTCTGTTCCTCTCAGATCTTTTGTGGCTATAGCAACAAGTGTGAGAATGCTTATTGCTTTAGGAGTCTGCCATGAGTTCATAGTTTCAAAGAATCACCAACTCTACTACTTGATTGTGGAAGCAATATTGACCAAATCTTGCTGAATTTTATCAGGGTTCTCTCAGATTCAAAAAGGCTCTTAACTCTTCCTCAGGTTCTTGATGGTATTTCTGCTTTAATCTAAAAAAAGACCAGCTTGCTGTGACACATTTGAATATGAAAGGTACCTCTTCTGGAGGTAACTTGTATTTTCCCTTCTCAGTTTTTCCTTTGGAATCATTTTACAAACTGCAGCTTTTGTTTCTAGGGCTCTGCTTGACAGGACCGATGATATCCCTGGAAAATGGTTTTAGAGTTGATGTTTGGTGACTGCATTATTCAAGGCTCATATAAATTGAGAACTGGTTACATTGCCTCTTGCTATGTAGGATAAAAGATTCTGTTCTTAGAGTCACTCATCCTCTCTCACATAGACAAAACAGCTAGGAGAACTTCTCAGACTAATTTTGTTGTATGAAGAACTAAGATGCCTGGGAATAATTTAGCAATAGCTCATCCAAATTAAAGCAAAGTTGAACTTTAGAATGGAAGAAAAAGAAATTATCATGTTAGCTAAACATTTGCTTTCTGGATCTCCCAATTAAAAAGTGGCATACTACATCTCAAGTTAGCCAGTATAGAACACGTTCTACATTCCGTTGTAAAAATGGCAGGTAGCTATCATCAAGTATGATTTTTTAAAATGTTCCATGCCTGATATTTTGTAATTGTTGAAATCAGATATCCCTTTACTCAGTGGCTTTTACTTCATAATGAAAAAGTAGATTTTGTTGTAATATATAAAATTGTGGAGATAGATGGAATTAACAGAGAAATTAGAATTTGTCTTTTAAGATAATTTGAGTTTCATCATAGAAGGTAAGCTCAGAATGCTGAAGTGCTGCTGGAATAAATGAACTGTTTTACTTTTTTCATAAAGATACTGATGTATGCAATTAATTCAGAGATAATTCCATTTGCATGTTCTGAGTGATGAAGAAGTGAAAGAAGTAAGAGACTGAGTAATAAAGAAGTGAAAGAAAGAACCTATACACTGCTGGTAGGAATGTAAATTAGTTCAGCCATTATAGAAAGCAGTGTGGAAATTAACCAAAAACCATTTGACCCAGCAATCCCGTTACTGGATATGTACATAAAGGAATATAAATCATTCTACTATAAAGATACATGCATGCATATGTTCATTGCAGCACTATTCACGATAGCAATGACATGGAATCAACCTAAATGCCCATCAGTGGTAGACTGGGTAAAGAAAGTGTGGTACATATATACTATGGAATACTATGCAACTGTAAAAAAGAATGAGATCATGTCCTTTTTAGGGGCATGGATGGAGATGGAGGCCATTATCCTTAGCAAACTAATGCAGAAACAGAAAACCAAATACTGCATGTTTTCACTTATAAGTAGGAACTAAATGATGAGAACACATGGACACATAGAGGGGGAACCACAGACACTGGGGCCTATCGGAGGGTGGACAGTGGGAGGAGGGAGAGGATCTGGAGAAATAACTAATGAATACTAGACTTAAAACCTGGGTGACTAAATAATCTGTACAACAAACCCCCCGTGACACAAGTTTACCTGTATACAAACCTACACAAGTTTATCTGTATACAAACCTACACATGTATCCTTATACTTAAAATTAAAAAATAAAAAACAAAATGCAGTGTTAAAAATGAGAAGTGAAAGAATTTTTTAAATGTAACTGCTTAATTTCACATTTGTTTAGAGTTCTTCCCAAGAAACTTGCTTTTCACTGCAATCTCCTTAAATATGTACGTATAGTTTTCATTGGATTCATTGAAATCCAATCCAGCAGGATTCTTTCCTAAATAAGAAACGTACTGGATCAGTCCTGACCTATTTTATGATTTTTGGTACTTGTCACCTGTAAAGAGAAGTTAAGGGAACATCACCCTAACTCCACAAAAATACAAAAATACCATCAGAGACTATTATGAACACCTCTGTGAACACAAATTAGAAAACCTACAATAAATAATTCCTGGAAACATACAACCTTCCAAGACTGAACCAGGAAGAAATTCATACCCTGAGCAGACCAATAACAAGTTCTGAAATTTAATCAGTAATAAAAAGCCTGCCATCCAGAAAAGGCCCAGGGATAGGCAGCCAAATTCTACCACACATTTAAGAGTACCTGGCACCATTCCTACTGAAACTGTTCCAAAAAATTGAGGAGGAGAGACTCCTTCCTAACTCATTCTATGAGGGCAGCATCATTCTGATACCAAAACCTGGCAAAGACACAAGAACAAAAAGAAAACATCAGGCCAATATCCTTGATGAACATAGAAGTAAAAATCCTCAACAAAATAATAGCAAGCCAAATCCAGCAGCATATCAAAAAGCTAATTCACCACAATCAAATAGGCTTTATCCCTGGGATGCAAGATTGGTTCAACATACACAAATCCATAAATGTGATTCATCACATAGGCAGAATTAAAAACAAAAAGATTATCTCAATAGATGCAGAAAAGGCTTTCAGTAAAATTCAGAATCTCTTCATGTTAAAAATCCTCAACAGACTAGCCATCGAAGGAACATACCTATAAATAGTAAGACCCATCTATGACGAACCCACAGACAACACCATACTGAGTGGACAAAAGCTGGAAGCCTTTCTCTTGAGACCTGGAACAAGACGAGGATGCCCACTCTCACCATTGCTATTTAACATAGTTCTAAAAGTCCTAGCCAGAGCAGACAGGCAGGCAAGAGAAAAAAATTAAAGGCATCCAAATAGGAAGAAAGGAAGTCAAACTACCTCTCTTTGCAGGCAGTATGATCCTACACCTAGAAAATTCCATAGTCCCTACCCAAAAGCTCCTAGATCTGAAAAACAACTTCAGCAAAGTTTCATGCTACAAAATCACTGTACAAAAATCAGTAGCATTCTATACACCAGTAAAGTCCAAGGTGAGAGCTCAGTCAAGAATGGAATCCTAGTCACAATTGCCACAAAAAGAATGAAATACCTAAGAATACTGCTAACTAGGGAGGTGCAAGATCTCTACCAGGAGAATTACAAAACACTGCTCTAAGAAATCAGAGATGACACAAACAAATGGAAAAACACTCCAGGCTCATGGGTAGGAAGAATCAATATCATTAAAATGGCCATAGTGCCCAAAGCAATTTACAGATTCTATGCTATTCCCATCAAACTACCAATGACATTCTTCACAGAACTAGAAAAAACTGATTTAAAATTCATATAGACCCAGAAAAGAGCCTGAATAGCCCAAGGAGTCCTAAGCAAAAAGAACAAAGCTGGAAGCATCGCATTACCCGAATTCAAACTACACTACAAGGCTACAGTAACCATGGTATTGGTACCAAACACCATGGTACTCATACCATGTATCACCATACCAAACAGCGTGGTACTGGTACAAAAACAGACATATAGACCAGTGGTACAGAATGAGAGTCTGGAAATAAAGTCATACACCTACAACTTTCTAATCTTTGACAAAGCTGACAAAAACAAGCCAAGGAGAAAGGACTCCCTATTCAATAAATTGTGCTGGGATAACTGGCTAGCTATATGCAGAAGATTGAAACTGGACCCCTTCCTTTCACTGTATACAAAAATTAAGTCAAGATAGATAAAAGGCTTAAATGTAAAACCTAAAACCATAAAAACCCTAGAAGAAAACCTAGGAAATACCATTATGGATATAGGCCCTGGCAAAGATTGCATGATGAAGATGCCAAAAGCAGTTGCAACAGAAACAAAAATTGGCAAATGGAACCTAATTAAAGAGCTTCTGAACAGCAAAATAAATTATCAACAGAATAAACAGACAACCAACAGAACAGGAGAAAATATTTGCAAACCATGAAAGGTCTAATATCTAGAATCTATAAGGAACTTAAGCAAAAAGCAACATTATTAAAAAGGCAAAGGACATGACAGACACTTTTCAAAAGACATATACACAGTCAGTAAGTATGAAACATCACTAATCATTAGAGAAATGCAAATCAGAATCACAGTGATATACCATCAGAATGAGATAACAGTCAGAATGTTGTTATTAAAAAGTCAAAAAATAACATGCTGGTGAGGCTGCAGAGAAAAGGGGCATTTATACATTGCCAATGGAAATGTAAATTAGTTCAACCATTGGAAAGTAGTTTGGCAGTTTCTCAAAGAACTCAGAGAGCTACCATTTGACCCAGCAATCCCATTATTGGGTATATAACCAAAGGAATATAAATTATTCTGCTATAAAGACACATGCACTTATATGTTAATCACAGCACTATTTGCAATTTCAAAGACATGGAATAAACCTAGATACCCATCAGTGGTAGACTAGAAAAAAGATGTGGCACATATATATCATGGAATAGTATGAAGCCTTAAAAAAGAATGAGAGCACGTCCTTTGCAGCAACATGGATGGAGCTGGAGGTCACTATCCTAAGCAAACTAATGCGGGAGCAGAAAACCAAACACTTCATGTTCTTATTAAAAGTGTGAGCTAAACGTTGAGTACATATGGACACAAGAGAATTATAGACACTGGGGCCTACTTGAGGGTGAAAGGTGGGAGGAGGGTGAAGATCAAAAAACCACATATAACTTACTATGCTGATTACTTGGGGTATATAGCAAACCCCTACGACACACAGTTTATCAATCAAACCTGCACATGAGACCCTGAAGCCGAAAGCAAAAAAAAAAAAAAAAAAGAGAAGTCGACCTCTCTGTACTTGTCTTTATTTTTGTTTCTCTTTCTCCCTGACAGAATCCCAAGGACTGCAGCAAAGCCAAGAAGCTGGTGTGTAATATCAACAAAGGCTGTGGCTATGGCTGTCAACTCCATCATGTGGTCTACTGCTTCATGATTGCATATGGCACACAGCGAACACTCATCTTGGAATCTCAGAATTGGCGCTATGCTACTGGTGGATGGGAGACTGTATTCAGGCCTGTAAGTGAGACATGCACAGACAGATCTGGCATCTCCACTGGACACTGGTCAGGTAAGGAGCTTGTGCAGCATATGAGATCTCTGGGCTGATTCACTCAATTACTAGATTATTAGATTTCTAGGTAGTCCTTCATGGAACATACTTGTCTTTTCCTCTGGATCCATGAATACTATACATTATCCAGATAAAATCTAGAAGAACAGTATTTTATTTTAAAAGTATTTTATTATGTATGTCATTTCTGATGCTCATTTTTATGTGAATTTAGCAAAATCACTGAGTTTTTTTCAGGGAGCATAATTTAATATTTTAATTATAATGATATGCCTTTCATTCTGTAGGATGATTTCACATTATTGAACTCATTTTAATATGAAATAATCATCATATAAAGTAGTCCAGTTTATACGGACTACTATATATGGGTAGCATGAACATGCATGAGAATCACCTGGAAGTCTTCATAAAACTCCATTTTCTGATAAGGAAGGTCTGGGGTGCAGCCTGAGAGTTTTAATTTCTGACAAAAGTTTTAGGTTTAGGGACTGTGCTTTGAGAACCACTGAGGTGGACCTTGCTGGTAACTTTATCTTCAAATGAAGCCTAATTTGTGTGATTTTAATTGTATTCAGGAAACATTTAATTAATAGTAATGTGACTAAGGTACTATACTAGGCATTATAAGCAGATAGATCACTAAGAAATTTCCTTTCTCTCCAAGGAAGTGGTGATGGTGTAGAATATAGAAAAGAGTTTCTTACTGCTAGCCTAGTGCTTTTCTTTCTACAATCATGATCTTTAAGATCTAAAGTTGGGCTACCTTGTTTAAATTGTGGCTTTATTGTTTTGTAATCTTGGACAAGTTACTTAACCTAGGTCTTAGTTTCCTTATCAGTAAAATGAAGAGTAATAACTTACTTTATTGAATTGTTGCTAGATTAAATAAAATAATATATGTAATGCACTTACTACCTGATATATGAACTCATATCTAGTAATTTTTAGCTACTATGAATAGCCTTTATTCATTAAACAAATGTATAATGAGTGCCTACAGTGTGACAGATACTGAATTAAGTAATCGGGATAAATGCTAAGCAAGACAATATACATCCTCTGCACTCACATCTTGTGGGAATTCCAACATTTTTTTAAAAACTGAGGCATTTCAGTTAATATCATTTATTATGGGGCTAAGCACCTTTTTTCACAAGCTACAACACTAGATACAAAATAGGGAGCTATGTCGTCAGCAAAGTAACTTTGGTTCCTTCATTTCTTTTGCTTCCTTTGAAAAAAATCAGTAATATCTGACTCTTTGCAGAAGTGTCATGAAACTTAGTTGAGTACTTTCTATAAAATACTTTTGAGTTGCTCTGCAAGAAGTCCTGTATGGATTAAAAGTATTTTGTGATTTTTGTCTTCTATAGGGTAGAAGCCTCATTTTATATATCAACTGATTTTTTATTTTTAACTTACTTCAGATTTTAAGGTGAACCTCTTTATCTAGAACCTAGTTGAGCTTTAGTTTTAAAGTTTCATCTTCTGATCTGGTCTGTACTTTTAACAGCTAGTGCCAACAGATCAGTTATAAAGGTTAGGAAGATACTAAATCTATCAATCAGGAAAAGAAACTCTGCCAGCCCCACTATGGCTAACTTTTTTCGTTTCATGGACTTAGTTCACTTTAAACTTCCTTGATTGTGGAAATAAAAGACAGGGCCAAACTTTGCTTCTCTGGTTCTAGGGAGAGAAAACTTTTTGGATGGTAGTCAGAAAAGTGAAATTACCAGATTTATCAGGTTTAATATACAGTTTAGCCCTGCCTGTATGCTACAAGTGGTTATTTGGTTTGTTTGATTTTTAATTCTTACTTGTACATTTTGTAGTCTGTAGTGGCAACCACAGGGTATGAAAATTTTAAATGGCTTGAATTTCAAGCACTCAGAATTTCTTAATGTTACAACTAAAGAGGATGTAGAAATCATCCTTTCTTTATTCATCTGGAATCAAAGGCCTAGTAAAGGCTAAATGACTTACCCAGGGTCATACAGCTTATAAATGCCAGAACTCTGGTTAGCACATTACTTCTCCATACCCCTCGTCTAAGTCCTTATCAGTAAGCTCATGCCAAACACTTTACCTAGCAGAATGATGATTAGAGGCACAGAAACTGCCTGGAATAACTAGAAATTAAATAAAATAATTTTAATAATTTAGATACCAATCTTATATCTGAGAAGAGATTTCTTTTAAGATTAGAATATTTTTGTTTTTATGAAGAGTATAACTGCCATAGATTTCTGTCTGCTTATTTACATTATATATGTACCCTTTAGAGAAACTATTGAACATATTTCCAAGAATTAAAGGAAATAGTGAATTTTAATAAGCTCCTTGACATTAATCCTTTAGTTAGTTATAAATCAACTATGTCTGTTGCCATTCTGAGTTGTAAAAAAATCTTGGGATAGTTCCTTTGTCACCATTACTGTGAAATTATTATTGTTCATACATAACTTGACATGATGTCCCTACAGATGGAATTTAGTAATTCTTGTTCAAGTCTGTCCACCAGTGCAGGAATTAGTTTGCACATTGATCATTTCATAGCTATATCATACCTTATTATAGGTTGACATCTATTTTTCTTCTGCATTATTTTATGTTTGTGTGTGAAACTATATCCTTTGTACCAAGTAAAATGGTTAAGTGAAGGAAAATACTAAAGGTGATGCTTCCAGTAAAAAGTAATCAAAATATTTCCCATCACCTGTACATGCCATGTCTATTCCTAATAGTTTACATGTCCTAAGGTTGATGATGAAATGATCAATTTAGTTTTTTACACCACAAGATGTTTCCTCAACCTGAACTAACTACACATACTAGACCCAATTCTTCCACATAGATTGCTTGTGATAATTCAAAATGGGAATCTTGCCTTTATGTTTAATGATTTGAAGTACCTTTCAACAATATTTATTTGTTTATTTATTTATTTTTGTTTTGCTGTGTTTTGTTTTTAGAGACAGAGTCTTACTCTGACACCCAGGCTGGAGTGCAGGGACATGATCCTAGCTCACTGCAGCCTCGAACTTGTGGGCTTAAGCAGTCCTCTCACTTCAGCCTCCACAGCACCTGGGACTACAGGCATGCTCCATCATGCCCAGCTAGTTATTTTATTTTTTTGTTAGAAATAGGGTCTCACTATATTGCCCAGGCTGATCTTAAACTCCTGGTCTCAAGCAGTTCTTCCACCTCAGCCTCCCAAAGTGCTGGGATTATAGGCATGAGCCACTGTGCCTGGCCTCAACAATTTATAATTTGGTTTTTAAAAAGATATTGACTATTTTAGGCTATATATGATGACTAGCTTTCAAAATACAGTTCTAGCTTATATAAATACCATTGAATAGATGGTTTAGTGCTAGAGAACTCCATTTAAATTCAGTTCCTCACTTCAAACTTTTTCCTTGTAAAAATTAAAAATTATTCCCCTTAACAGTTAACCTAGACTATTTTGTCTTTCCTCCTCTTGTCTTTTCCCACTATCTTAAAAAATAAATAAGTTAAACTGAATTCTTAATATGATAAATGTAATTGAAAAATTTTATTTGTAAATGAAAATAATGACTAGTAAAAAAATAATTTATAAATATGATGAAGTTTGATGCCCTGGAGGCGAGGTGCCTGGTTTAAATACATGTCTAGGTAGATGACCATTTGGTATATTCACTTATCTAAACTGAATGGTAACCTTCTCTCCATGCCTCATTTCCAAAAGGTTTTAGTCAAAGAGTTTTATTTGACATCTTTAAGGTTTATGTGGCGGCAGCCTTAAAATAAAAGTAATTCAGTTAAAGTATTTGCTGTTTGCTAGATACCTATGCTGGACTACATGAAGACAGACACAGTCTCTTTCCTGTAAAGGGCAGTCAAGGGGGAAAGGTAGACAACTAAATAAGCAATTAAAACACGTTGTGCTAATGTGGTAGTATGGGTAAGTTAAGACTATCGTGAAGCAAATATCTAATACATATTTGGGGTTCTTTTGGAAGAAATGATTTCTAAGCTGAGACCTAAATTATGCGTAGGAGTTAACCAGGAAGGGACATGGTGGAAGAATCTTCTGTCAGTGGGCACAACATGTAGAAAGAGAGGCAAGAGAACATGGAGTCACTAGGGGAACTAGTAGTAGTTCATTGTAAAGCTTGAATGCTGAGAGACTAGCTAATGTTTCATTTTAAAAACAAGCATCACTTATAGGATTTCCATTTTGATGGTTGTGTATTTTTGTTCTTCACTAAAACTGATAGGTTTTAATTTGAGATTCAAAGCTCTTTTTTTGATTTTGGTTTAGAGAGTAGACAGAGTTATAAGAAGTTGATTTCAGGTGCCTTTTTTTGTTATCTCTTAACTATTAAACTGTTTATTCAAATATCTCACTCAGGTCAGAAGGAAAATCTTTAGCAAGTAGAACACAAATGAAATTACACTTTCAATCTTTCCTTTGAAACTGATATTTTAACCTTTACAAAACTACTAAGATGTCTATTGGAATCATCTAAATATTCTAACCAAGTTGTATCCTTAATAATGATTGACGTCAGGTAGACCAATTTATAAACTGATATTAAGCAATAATGTGATTAAGAATATATAGGTATAATATATGTATTAGGCTATAGATATGTGTCTGTTAAGTCTTTTTACAGTAGTATTTTCAGTCTTTGATAATTGTATTAATAGAAACTTAAAACAAGTACATTTACTATTTTTGATCCCTTATGCTGCAAAAAATCTTGATTTCTCTGTTTAGGTGATCTGAGAGAGGGGAAGGATATTGGACTGTGAGTCTGGTCCAGTTCTGTTGTTTTTAGCTTTCTGAACTTTGTGAATTAACTTTAGCTTCTGAACCTCAGTTTAGCTCTTTAAAAAAACTCATGATACTTATTACCTACCTCCCTGTCCACCTGGAATATATTATTGGGTTACAAGCTGCAACAACAGGAAAGCTATCCTTTTATTCTGAGATGAAAATCATGCCT